AACGGATCGAAGGACATTCCGTGCGAGCACAACATTCGTCACAACGGCACCATGTATGCGGCGGCCAACATGGTCCGTGCACGAGCCTGTGGCAAGCTCGTGCTCGGTGACAAGGCGAACCCTCAGACGACTTTCCATCTCAACGAGGGGCACGTCACCGACATGTGTGAGATCGGCGGGGACCTGCAGTCCCAGCGCGATGTCCACTACGAGGTCAAGGTGCCTAGCGCCCTCACAAAGACGAGGCAGGCTGGGCAGGGCTCGGCGGCACACGGCGGATGCTGTGCGTCACTGGGCCACAAGTTTGGCTTCGGCAACACCCTCGACCAAACCTTGCTCAAGGTTCTTGGGTGCAAAGAGCGCGGCCACAAGTCACAGGGCCCGCTCGTCCATGCGACCGGCAAAGGCTGGGTCAAAGAGCACAAGGGACAGTACTACGACGCGCTCCATGTCAAGAACGGAATCGTCAAAATTTGTCTCGTCGAAAGCCAGGGCGGCATCGCGCCGCCGACCAAGAGAATCATCCACAACTTCGCCAAAGAGGTCGGCAGCCCGAGCGCCGTCGACCGCACCGACTACGGCACAGCCTCCGGCAGCGCCCGGGGCTTCGCCCAACACCACTCGCAACAGCTCTCGCGCGCCGCCGTCAGTGGCGATGCGCAAAACATCAACAACGCTGCTCGCAACATGCGTGTCGCGCACTCATTCATGACCGGTCTCAATGCCCCACCCCCCTGCGCGCGGGCCTTCTAAGCCCGCGGGTAGTCCCCCCCCATCCCCAGGGCCTCCAGGGCTCGCACCTCAACCTCTCACAGGCCAGCGCACAGCGCCATAGGAGGTATTTTCTTCTCAATAACAAGGCTGTGAACCGATTTCGGCCTTAGCCGGATGCCAATACCAGGTAGCGTGCTAGCCACCCGTCACAATTCGCGGCATATACCCGGGTGGCGACGCCCCCCGCTCGGCATGCTCCCACATAGCGGTCCACGCAAGCGCGACCGCGTCGTTGTGGTCAGGAGTACGACCGCGCTCCGCTGCGCGCTTATCGTGGGGTCGCTCGTGCTAGCCTGCATGCTCTTCGCTGCTTGGGAGGCTCGAACGAGTGCAGCCAGCACAGCCGCAGCACGCCGCGCCTCGGCCCTCGCGGCCCATCACAACTCGCTAGCGCTCGTCCGCCGCGCGCTCGAGCTGCAGATCGAGATCGAGTCGCATGAGGCTCGCGGCGGCGATTTGCTGGCGCTCTACCTCCAGCTCGATCGAGAGAGGCTGCCCGCACTCGAGGCCGCGGTCGAGGCGGCCCTCGACGGCTGCGACGGCTGCGTTTCGGGGAGACGGAACGTCTCGGCGCTGCTGCACGCATTCCTCGGAGAGACGCACGCGCGCGCCCAAAAGGCGCTCGACGACATCGACCGCAGAGGCACGCGCAGCCGCGAGCGCGCTCACCAGCTCGCCTCCGAGGTCGCAGCGATCGCCCGGGCCGACCGAGAACGGCTTCGGTCTGAGCCGCTTGGTGCGGCCGACATCGGTTGGGCGGTGGATGCGGAGCTGCAGGTGCCGCTCCGCGCGCTCGCCGTCGCGCTGCGCAGGCCGAACGCGACGTTTGAGCTCGGTCCTGCCGCGCTGCGCGAGTGGGGCGAGGCGCTCACTGCAGCGAGGCGCGAGGGGAGGCCCACCGCAGCGACCCTCGGGCGGCTGGCCCGCCTCGTCGCCGCCGCGCCGATCGATCCGGGCCACCGCGGTCGCGCCGCGGTCCTCTCTGCTGCTCGGGCGGCTGGAGCGTCTGGAGTGGCGGTCCGGCAGGGCGAGGCGGCCGCGGGAGGCGAGGCCGGAGGCGAGGCTGGAGCGGTCCCCGCGTTTGAGTCGCTCCTGCTGCGAGCCCGCCTTCCACCCCGGAGGCGTCCCGGCCTGGAGCCGGATGCCTGGCCAACCTTGGGAAGGAGGGCCTCCCCGCTCCGGTGGGGGGAACTTCGGGGGAAGGAAAGTCTCATCCGGTCTTGCCCCCAAGGGCCCCCGTTGGCTTTCCCGGTCCCAACATGTCTGGCCCCCCTCCCCCCAAAACCCTAATTGGGGGCCGGGGAAAATGTGTCCCCAC